GCATACGCCAGTTGCGCACACACACACACACACAGACAGACAGACAGACACACACACACACAGACACACACAGCACTCTCACACACACACACACAGACACACACACACACACACACACACACAGAGTACTCTCGCACACACACAGACAGACAGACAGACACACACACACACACACACACACACGCACACACACACACACACACACACATCAGAGGGAGGAGGGAACACAGGTTATGGTCCATAGCATCTCTTCACAAAATGTGAGGATGCAAAGCCTGTCCAAACAAGAAAAAGGATACAGATGGCACCTCCCACCTAACACACACGCTTTATGGCTACCGCCCCCACCCCAATCAGGCTATAACAAAATCTGATTTTAAAACAGCGACACTGACCACAGCGACACTGACCACAGCGAAGACCATGACGTCATTAGAACAACTGCAGCAGTGACTAGACTCAACTGGTCGCTGACGTTCTCAAGATGGGCTTCCGAGATATGAAGGAGGGAAGAGCCCTAGGCTTCGTCTTGTGGGAACGAAATTGTCCGCGGTGTTTAGTGTATCCCCCCCCCCCCCCCCTCTCTCTCTCTCTCTCTCTCTCTCCCCCCCACTCCCCCCAAAAACCACTTATTCTAAATTCGGAAGTACGTATGGGCTCGCTACCATAAAACCACTGCTATACACGACTACTGGGTGAAAGAGACAAACAATCAAAATCAAGTTCGATGTTTGCGCCCCTATAAAAGCAAAGTTCCCAAAACAGTTTTTGTTCTGGTATACGCATCTCAATTGTCTTCAGATTCAAAACCCATTTTCTTAAAGCTCCAAAACATACATTGTAATGTAGAAGTTTTAAAATATGTGTGGTAGGCCACGGTGAAAATCAATCCCTGTTGAGAGTCGAACCCGCACTGCGAGAGATATAGTACGGATGCCAGGTCAAAAAGCACTAAGCACAGGACGGTGCAACACGGCGCATAATATTGTTGCAGCATCCGTGACTTCTCTCGGGTATTTTTTGTAAAACAATAAATCACAGACGGTACGAACATTTTAAAACTTGTTTTCAGAAAAGGTTTGGAGACTAGAGTGGTACAGTTAAGTATTCCAACATCAGGACTAGACAATGCCGTGTATATTATGTACTTCTGTGTAAATCTTGGGACGTTTCGAGAAAATCTTTGGACTAGTATCAAACTCTAGGATTATTATGTACAAGAATAATATAATCAAAAGCTTGGCATAGTAAGTAACCAAACAGAAAAAAGAGCTAGAAAGTAGGGTGGTGGGGGGGGGGGAGGGGGATACTACGTTAAAAAGCTGTATGTCTCCGTGAACATTGTTGTGGCTTTGTTGATGAGGCAGACTGATATATTTTCACATAATTTAAGTTTAACCCTTTCTCTTCTCATTTCTTCACCTTTTCTCATCCCAGGGTTTTCCTGCGTGTCCATCCCACATGCTGTTCTTGTAGTTGACACCGACTTCATTTACTGTGCAGTGTCACCTTCACTCAACGGTATCTTATCACATACATGTATTATATATGTATATCTATGTTATCTAATCAACACTATCAGTATCCAAGACATTTTATCACATCTCATCATATCTCACCATCTCCTTTTATATCTCATCCTTTTGATAATTTATTGTTATAATTGTGTTGCATCAAATCTCACCTCATGCCAAGTTTTTTTCTCCTTTAAACGGTTTTGTTGTTCCTGCCAACCTATTTGCGTCATTCTAGTCCAACACCTATCTTATTCACTTTTATCTAATCGTGTCTTCTCCAATATCTCTATCTCTTTGTGTTTGTCCCAATTTCATCTTACCCAACACCATTAAAGATCTGTTAAAGATACATGTATGTAGAGTGACACAAAATACAATCACAATGGAACAACAAAATAAGTTATGTGTATGATTCGATTTTTTTAAAAAGATCAACCAAATAATTCAACCTCAGAAAAAAAACAACCAACACAACAATATAAAAAATGCAATGTCATTGACAAAAAAATTTGAGCCTTATCAATATTTCTATCCAAAAAAAAAAAAATATGTTTACAAAATATGACATGTTCATAAAAATCTACATTCTTAACAAATTAAAGATTTAACCTGACTGGGCGAGTGTTGTGCTATCAACACGCGTGAACGAGACAGAAAAAAAAAAAAACCCAGAGGAAAAAAACCCAAAAGGAACGATTGTCATATCTGTGACATATAGTGTTGACTGGAGGCTTTGTGAAAGTTATATATACACCTTTAACATTGAAAACCATATTTTGGACTACTGGATTCTTTTTAGCTTTTGTCTTTCTTGGAGCTAAAAGCCTTATCAAACACAATTGGGCCATTCGAAAACCACACCGTTTGATTACGTAAGGTTTTTGTTTATCCTCGACAGGACCATCGTTCGACGTAGGTGGGCTATTCTGAGAGTTGTGAAATGATACTTTGAAGGCACTAATGTTCTAAAGTATACTGAGGAGAATGTGTGATGTGAGGTGATGTGGGGTGGGGAGGGGTAGGTAGGCGGTCATGTCTCCTCCAGATAGGGGTGTTTTTTTCGGATCGATAGAAATTTTGAAATGTATTCGTACATGCACCATTGAATTCGTTGTCCTTTATTATTCATCTGATCAAGAAAATGAAAATTGTATTGAGAAATAACAGGAAAGTGCCCCGAAAAGTTATAATGTTGTCAGCTGAGCAAATTTGCGAGGATATAAAAAGAACGCGGGGGGGCTGGGAAGTAAGGCTAAAAAAAAGAAGGGGAGGGGGGGGGGGGTCTATCACATTGGTAATATGGAGAAGGATGAGCCAGTTAGGAGGTGGACATAGGAAATGTTAACAACAAAAATTATTTACTGTAATTATCTTGAGCATAAAAGACATACATTATTATACATGTACAAAAAATACATGGTGTATCAAAATCAGTAAGATAAAAAGGTACATACAAGGTAATCAATGCTAAACTGTAAAAAAATAACCCCGAACTGTACTTTGGGTTCTTCCAAACAATGCAAAAAGAAAATACTGGACAACTGCTTGAAGCTGAACAAAATCATATTGGAAAACAAAGGCACATTATTTCGCACAATAAATCACAAAAACAAGTTCCATTTCTTTTTCTCACAATATATCGTTTGAAAAAATCCAAACATCTTTATCCAAGAGAGTCGCAGTTTGGAGGGTTTCCTCTACAGTCAGTGATGGCAGACTCCCATAGGGCGTCCAATTATTAGCCATCGTCTGTCTGTCACACACACAGACACGCACACGCGCGCGCACACACACACACACACACACACACACACACACACACACACACACACACACACACACACACACACAAGTAGAACCCCTCCCCCCAACCCTTTTACACACACGCACAAACAGAAACCTTTGTTACGCTCGAATGCTCCCTTCCTTACTTTACCCCTGGAAAAAAAAGGAACTTATTTTCTTTTCTTCTTTTTCTAGACAAATCAAGCACCCACTAAACCTTCCTTATGCCAGAAAACTTTCTCATTCCTTACACACGTGTTCAATTTAAGATGAACTTCTGAAACAAAATGAAAGTTCCTTTTAACAAAAAGTGCTAGAGCCGAGACTGTCAAAAGCAGAAACAACGAGTTCCCCCACAGCTGGCTTCACGTCAAGGAAAAGAAAGTTTTAAACCCCAACGACCCACATCACAGTGGAATCGTGCGCTTGCACGCAGTATGATAAAATCATGAGCATGAAACACAACACAATGAGAACAAATCTAGCTGGAACTGAGAGGGGCATAAGGCAGCGCTATGCAAATTTTACTGTAAAAAAAAACACTGGTGACCTTATATTAGTGACAGCAACGTGCTCTAAAGTAGCCTTTAAGTGTTGGCCATCTGTGACACATCGCTAACTCAGAATTACAAAGTTCTCTCTGACATTTTGGCCGTTTTGAGTTACTAAGACCACGAGATCAGAAATGAAATATTCTATCTGCTCTTCAAAATCGTGAGACTACTTGGAGTCGTTATCAAGATATTCAAAGAACTGCATTCGAAATAGCTTGAACTATTGTGAAACTCAAAATTTTTTACGTCAAATTTCTCAAAACTAGGTACTGAACAGATAGAAGTTTGTAGCTCTGAGGTAGTGACACGTCATTCGAGCAAAAGTCGGTAAAAATTATCACGCTCGCTGCAGTAACGACATTATTGTGCGCGACCTCGACATTGCTGTCATCTCCCTCTCCTGGGCGTCGAGCTGTGTCACGACGTAGTTTGACCGACAAATCAGGGGAAATCAAACCAACTCTGTGTGATCGGGAATGCTTTCCTGTCAACAATTACAGGGCTTAAAATCAAGCACAACGTTAGGATGTTTAAGAAATAAATGTTCTTGCTAGTTTGTTTCGTTTTTCAAATATCAACAATACCGAATTTAGTGATAGGCAGCCATTCATCTCCAAGCGAAAGAGGGAGGTGAAGACACTAGAAAACTCTCAAAACAACCCAGGGCTCATGCGCACCAACACACAATTCGTTCACCTAAAAAAAAGAAGAAATGATTGTTCGTCCAGTGTGCCTCTGTTTTGGCGGCCGTCTCAAAGCCCTTTGACCTCCGACCCTCTGTGTGTGTCTACGAGTGTGTCAACAAACGAGACAGACGAGGGGAGGCAGCGAAGACAGGCACCCCGAGTGACAGCTCTCGGGGTCGGGAGAGTTTCCTGCTCCTGACAGTAACCCGATTCTGAGTCAAGTGGTAGAGACAAGTGGACACGGTAGAGAGTACTAGCGCTGTCGCTATGTCCTACAGGAAGTGCATCCTTGTCTGGATGACCTCCATTACGACATTATCACATCACTACGGACAGCAATCACTAGAAAATTCAACTCCCAAGTTGCAATTCGAACGACTACTTTGACAAGATGACAAAATGAATTGAAATAATTTAGAATTTGAATACTGATAAGGTCCAATTAATATTGTTTTTTTGTAAAGTGTTGGGGTGCAGAGGACTGCAAGTGTGAACACATGGCAGACTGCAGACAGACAGTCCAAACTCGGATGTTAAACGAACTTTGATTGATGACCGCGACTAGAATGTAAACCACAGTGATGAAAATGCATTTTAATTACATCAAATTAAGCGAGTTTCACCGAGGATTCCTCAAATCGTCCGGGCTGACTATGGATTGATCAATTAACAGAATTATTATAACAAAACTTCATTGGCCTTCATTCTCCAGATGTCGCAGTCATGGCGGTCTGTCCTCTGATTCGTCCGTCAGATCCACCGAAGATTCCCGAGACCTACCGAAGGTTCCCCGCATGATCGCCCGTAAATGGGTTATTGGGTTTCTCAGATAGGACGGGCGCATCCCCGGGAAGGAGTTGGAGTAGCCATGTTCCTCGTGCACGGGGCTCTGGGGAAATGACATGAGGTGGATAATATGTTAATGTAACAATTAAGAAGGCAAAAGAAAAGTAAATAGATACGATGAGAAATAAAACCACAAAAAGGCAAAAAATAATATAAATAAATAAATAAGATAAAAATGGTGAGGAATACAAATGAGACAGATATGACGATAAATGAAACAAACAAGAATGCAAAAGAAAAGGAGATACAATGTAGATAGATAATCTGTATCATATAATATAATAATAGAATAGAATAGAATAGAATAGAATAGAATAGAATAGAATAGAATAGAATATAACATG